TTCTGCCATTTTACTACCTGGACCTTTCCTTACCAGGGATGCTGTTCCTAATGGAATGGCCAGGCTTCCTGTCCCATCCCCATTGTGTCGTTTCCACGGGCAGCAAAGCAGAGGAGACTTTCCTGTGCTGATCAGAGCTTGACCATGATTATGAGCTGTTCCGTGGTCCCCAGGTAGGGTATGGAGCTCCAGGTAGCTGTGGCTGCCTCTTGGCTCCCAGCCTTTAGCAGCTGCAGCAGCTTTTCATCCTCTCCCTCAGTGTGAGGCCCTGCCAGCTGCTTTCGTACACCTGCCCAGGTGGGAGACAGGCTGCTGCTCTGCCATGATGGGTATGTGAAGCAGATAGTTCCCCAGGCCAGTTCTGCTCTGGAAGTGCCCGTGTCCTCTGTTCGGTGGTGGATGTCTCTCCATGACTTGTTCATTCTCTTGGCACTGCAGTTCCTGTCAGCTGTTCCCCTAGGGTTACAGTGAAATCCCCACCAATGGAAGACGTGGCGTTTGCAAAATAACCTTCACGAGTTGAAGGCTGACAAGTCAAGGGAGCCTGACAGAAATGTTCAGTTTGGTGGGAAGTCGGTGCTCACCAAGCCTCTGTCATGCATCAGGCCGTTAGCGAAACTCTTCCTGTCTGAGAAGAGTCAAGCTTTTGTTTCAGCGTTTCAGGTAAAGTTATTGATGATGAATTGCATTTTAACATTCAGCTTTAGAGTGTTTAAATACTTTTATTGGAGGTGCAAGCATGGACACAGGAAAATAGTGAATGCATTTAGTCTTAGAGTATGAAGAAAGTTTTTATTTTCATTGTTTAATGTAAAGCTGTACAAGGTCTGCTTTAGAAAAAAAGCCTGAGAATTCACCTTACAGCATTGATGGAGTAGTAATTATTGGTTGTCTTTTGAGCGAAAAAGAGAGTTAGTTAGGATACTCCTGGGTTGGTCGTATTGATGAAGTTTGACTCAGTGTTTTTGAAATAATGCAAGCAAAGCCAGAGTGAAAGAGCAAGCCCAGCAGGAGAGAGCTGACAAAGATCAGCTTGCATCGGCTGTTGGTCTCTGCTGGGAAGGAGAAGGGTCTGGGCAGTTCTGAGGCCACCAAACAATTTGCCAAGTTCCTTTTAGCTGCTTTTTGAGTTGTAAGAGGGCAGTGGCTGCCACTGATGGAGTTGGATTTGCCAGTTAAATCGGATTCTTTTGAGGCAGGAGAGAAAGAAGAAAGATAAAAGGAGTTGGAAGGTGTGACAGCAGGACTCTAACACCAGTGTTTGGCACTTAGTGTAGCCTAAATCTCATTCCCTCTTGTTTGATCTGATGGGAATAAAAGTCTGGCTAAGGATTATGAAGGGCTGACATTGAGTGGGTTTGGGTGCTGCTTTTAGGGTAAAGCTTCTATTTTTCATCTGAAGGGATCTGGTTATCTCTGTCATCTTTTTCAAGGGCTTTTTCAAAGCAAGGAGATGAAGTCAGAAAGGGATGGCAGTGTAACCATCTGGATAATGATGCCAACCCACAAATTCACCAAGAGGTGTCAGAGCTTTCTAAGTTAAGCAGGTCAATGTGGGGTTTTTTTCTATTTGCAGCTTTTGATGACTTCTGAAAACTATTTGAGCCCAACAAACTTTGAGTAATGTATAGAGGAAAAGACAGGGACAGTGGTGAGTGGAAGGGGTGAGATTCAGCAAGATGAATGACAGTTACAGTAAGAAAACTGTCACAGGAGTTTCTCAATTGTCCTTTTAATACAAGGGACTATTCTTTGTAGAAGGTAACTAACATCTAACGTGTTTAACGATCACTGCTGGCCAATCACTTGAGTGCTGACCTGAGTGGAAATGTAAGACACATCTGACTCTTCACGGCCAGGTTGGATGGGGCTTTGTGCAACCTGGTCTAGTGGAGGGTGTCCCTGCCCATGGCAGGGGGGTTGGAACTAGATGGTCTTTAAGGTCCCTTCCAACCCTAACCATTCTTTGATTCTATGATTCTATCTCCCCTCACCTTGATGGGATCCTTGAGCCTTCCCTGCCTGCATCTCCCACTTGCTGCTCAGTCTGCTCATCACATGCTCTGTTCCTCATTGCTGCAACAGGCCAGTTTCTGTAAAAAGCACGCTTACCTGCTGTCCCTTTCTCCCAGTCTCACTTCTTCTCTTTAAATCTTGGGATTTAAAACTTACCTGCAGATGTGCCTGATCTCTCTGCAGTCCGTCATGCTGATGGCCTTTCTGGGAGTGAGGTGAGCTGCACCCAAAGCACTTTGTGGCTGCAGCAAGCACTTTTTTAGTTGTTG